ACAAAAGTTATTTCATTTGTCAAATCTTTGTGGGTCACCCCGTATACTATAAACGAATTAACGCAGGTAGACGGACAGCGATGTGCTGTTTTTATTAACACTAACACACAACGTTTAACGTTAATTTAAAATATATATGCGTTTCATTCCATTGGAATATCATCCTGTATACTATAAACGAATTAACGCAGGTAGACGGACGTATATTATATCTGTACGACGTTATTCTTTATCTATGATTATTATTATATTTTGTTTGGTACTTGTTATTATTATTATATCAGGCTTTCAGTAAAAAAAAATGTAATTTTTTAATTTAAACTGCCCCTACTTGCCCCCCCCCCCTGCGGACGCCCTTATCTGAGAGGTGGTAATTAGTTTTTGTGGAAATTCTCCTCATCTATACATTTTTAGTCAAATATGATTAAGTTAAAACTGTTTGTGTAATGATATTTTATTGAATACGTGTACAATATACACTATACGAATAATACTATGAATAATAAAATAATAGTAATATATTGAACTACGTTATATTTAATTAACGTGTTCAGAAAGCTGGAAGTGTCTTAATCGAACTATGATACTTTTTTGGAAAACTACAAACTTAAAAATAGTGCTTTTCAAAATACCTACATTTATTTCTTAGTGAGAAATTTGTTGAAAAATAAATAAATGTAGCACTAATTTTAAGCTTCAAATATTTTAGAATCCCAAGGCTCCCTCCCCTAATCTCCGCTAATAAACTGTCAAAACGTTTTTTAATGTATCTAAAAATAAAGTTAAAAATAAGTATAAACCTATATGTACATGCGCTTAATTTTATTCATTGAATTTGCACAAGATAGTATTTACCTTTATACATAATAAATAAATATATACTTTAATTGTATTATAATAAACTATATTTTAAGCCTTCATAGATAATTAACTTATAGCTAATAATAACGATTTTCAATTGATATTTGCAAATTTTTCTTAATTATGTTCAACATATAAATGATTTAATATTGGTTGTTTATACAAGATTACATTAGATAATATTATGCATTCAATTTTATAGCGTAAAAACTTAACTACGCAGAATGCGTTTAATCGTTCTATTGTCGGCGTTGTGGGAAAATATCTAATATGTAACCGAAAACAAATGATATTAAAGAGATACTATCACATTTGATTTTTAGAAAAAAAAACAGTAAAACGCAATCTGCGTGGATATATTTTGGTACAATTAATGTAGTTATTAACGAACGTTGTTGATGGTCTGATAAAATAACTGATTGTACAAATAAATTTAGTCTGGACAAAAAATTACCTACGAGTACATCAAACTTTTTAATAATTAGGCTGTAAAACGTCCTTTTAACTCCGAATCCGAAATCCTATTATTTGTACATCTTTTAATGCATTTTCAGATTCGTCAGTCGTTCAATTATTGCTCTGTTGACTGTTTGTCTGTAGACATTTTTTAAAAAGTTTATTCAGGTGTTAGAGGTCTACGGCGTTTATACAATTAAAGCATTATACGCTTTTATTGGGTATCACAAACGAGGCATACACATTACGGTCGATTGCAGTCGCGTCTTAATTGTATAAGGGTGTATCAAATATTGAATTAGTATAAGTTCAATTATACGCCTTTGCCTAATAATCAAAGAGCAGTAAAAAAATGCATTTACCATGTAAACATTAGGGCGGAATTGGTAATGAGATTCAAGCTTGTTACGGGGAAAAAAGTATTAAAGGGGATAAATAACGACAAATTGTCAGATCAAATAAAAAATAATATATTTATAAAAAATAAAACAGTGCGAGTGACGAGTGTTTCATACTTTTATAAAAATATATACCAATTTTTTATTTTCTATACAATTTTTTTTTTGTATTATAGACCATAAATATTTCATACCTAATTAAAAATAAATACAAATACAATAACTTTTATTATTAAATTTCATTTTAAAAATCCAAAACAGCTTTGTTTAAAATTAGAATATTTACTATGAATTTGTGTTACATCACTGTCGATTCCATGTGGTATGCAAAACGAAAAACCATAACAAATTAACCAACTATATAAAATATTTAGCACATAAAAGAAAGATGTAAGCTTTGCTATAATATAATATTAACAGTGAAAACTAATTACCAATCTAATGCATTTGATTTGGATATTGCGATTTAAGAGAGTTGTACAAACAGAACTACTGATGAACAGCTCTAATAATTAATAGAAGGTGCAGAGTTAGACTTTAAACAATGTTTAAGAGAAATATATTTAGTTATTATTGAAACCACGAATACCTTAGGTAATATTGATCTTTTTTTGTATCATAACTTTAATAAATACTATAAAAAAGTTTAATTAAAAAAATTAAGAAAAGGTGAAATCGTAAAAAATTCATCCAAAAGCACTTACGATTTTTTTTAAATTGCATGTAGAGGAAACCAAAATAAGCATATAAAAGCTAACTATAGTTTACTAAATACTAAATGCTATTAGAAATATCGTTTGAAAAATTCAATAAAAGTTGAAAAAACGTGATTTAATGGTGAATTATAAATTTAAAACAACTTCCGTAGCGCAGAGTAAACGTTCTTAACTGGCTTTAACTGTTTGTATTTTTTTATCTAAGGTATTTATTGAGCTGTACTACTGGAAGTTCATTGAAATGTTTTTTTATTAAATTGTAAAACACATTCGGCATAAAAAAAAAATCGAACAATATTTTGGAGTACAGCTCGGTCATAGTTGGTTTGCTTATATAAAAGTAGTAAAATTGTAACTTTTTAGTTAATATACTTAACCTGACAACTTTCCAAGAACTTACAGCAGTTTAAAGTTAAATTTGGAACATTTAAAATTGTTTTTATAATTTTCAAAAGGGAGTAGTAACCTTGTAACCTTGTAGTTATTTATTTGTTATGAATATATCTATATATATATATATACAATTACATATTTTAAACACGTAGCGGTCTTAACTTATAGGCCCTAATAATAGTACAAAAAAGGAAGTTCCCACAAAAACGGTATATTAGTATTCTAACATCCGAGTTCGGTCTCTCCTGAAATAGCCATTCCGGGTTCACACTGAAAGAAAATTCTTATTCGCGTAGATGGCTGTCAAACGCCGAATATAGAAACCGCCTGGAGTGCACAAGCGGAAATCACTTCTCAAAGTACATTTATATACATTGACAGTATAGCTGTGGTCGATAGGGATAAAACCAAGTTGTATCAACAATTTTAAGTCACCGTGTAGAGCTAATAGTCATACAGTAGGTAATACGAAAATGAAATACTTTTATAAGAAGAAAATATGTCATTTCCACTGATATTCAGTAATAGCTTTTCCATTGTTGACAATTGAAATTGAAATAAACTGTCATCGTAGTAAAATGTTAGCACAGTAGGGGAAATAAGCAATTACGCTATATTGATTGAAGTATGAAAAAGTTTAAACGAAATAAAATCGCCTACCACAATATGTAATACAGAACGACGTAAGACTCATTTTCTAGGAAAATGTTTTTCCCCTAAACTTTGAGGTAAGTATTTTACTATATTTTTCAATACGAAAAAAAGTTTTGCATTTATCGCTTATAATAAAAGAAGTATGGACTTCATTTTTTTCAAATGAGAACATGTGTTTTTAGTTCCAAAAATATGTAGGTTTGAATTTTGAATTTTCATCAATCTGTTCGTTTGCTATGACATTACAAAGATTTGAATTTAAGATCAATATTTCAATATTCGTTTGGTTTCTACAACAGTAGTACAATAGTTTTCCATTAAATAAAAATATTGACCCCCGTCGATAACACTTGTCACCGTCACTGTGCTTGAATATGTAGATAAGGTCCACTTGTCTATCATTATTACAAAACGTTTCATTATGTCTAGTTATTGGGTTCTCACATACAAAACAATGCGAACATAAATATGAATTTAGCAAACCGAAAACATATGATAATTGTAAGAGGAAATGTAATATATTTGCAAAGCATATAGCAAATTAACAGATTGACGAAAATTATAAAATTCAAACGCTAACATTGTTTGTCTACATATTAATGGAATTAAAAACATGTGATCCATACACGCATTACGTATAATGGATGAAGATAACTAACCTAACCTAACATACAAACATAGGAAAAACATTATTATTAAAACATTCATATTTTCTGAGACAATTATTGCCTTACATCAAATGGATACACTCTGTATATGTGTTATGGTAAGTTGTATATAGTACTGTCAAATTAAGATCAGTAACACAAATTTAATATAATATGTAACATAAACTGCAACTAAATAAAAGACTTTTACAAAAAAAAACACTAATTTGTTTATTTCTTGCTTCTTGCGTGAAACACAAAAGTATTTTTTTCATGGGAAGTCTATAAGGTTCTATATGATGGTGGTGATCCATTTTGTGTAATTCCGGCGATACTGTTTATCGCATGCAAGCGTTATCACCAGGGTCGTTTGACGATATTAAATTATGTTATGTATGATTAAATATCAATATCCTTCATGAAATTAATTAAATCACGATTTAACAACATGTTATACCGGTAATACTATGTACTGCATATTAATGAACGGGCGTTCGTGAATTGTCACCTTCCATATTAAATTTAAAAACTAAGCCTCCGAAATGTTAAAACAGTTATAGGAAACTAATTTATTAGCTGTACCCGGTAGTAGAAAAAAATTCAAATATGTGTAATTAGTTGTAATAGAATGTGTTATAAATTATGTTGAGTTGATATTATTTTCAAACGTTGACAGTCTTTTGATCCAGTCCTATCGTCTGAGGTTGCGTTAAATATTAGCCCTTTGAGTGTTTTTTGTTTAATGTTTTGTGTAAACACCACGCGTAGACTACCAAAGGGATGTGGACGACACGAAAACGAGAATCAGAACGGGTGAACCCTTTTTTGAAATTTAACACCACCACGACCCTTCCCTTACTAGCTGCAGTCTCCCAGGGCAGTACCCGACAGTCTGTTATTAAATGTTAACCGAGCCGCACGCACACTCCGGTTAGGCAGTCTGTTAGCCGCGTAAATTTCGAAATTATGTCTACTTTATAATTTGGTCGACAACGAGCAAACTTTGAACCATCAGTTATCAGCGGTCCTGTTAAAAGTAAACGGTAAGTAAATCTCACATCGTTTTATATTTTTTATGTGCTAGTGTTGTATAGTTTTTTCTGGACCAATTACGGTGATGAGACAACGTCTGTCTATAATAATTTGTTTCCATGGTTACTTATATCGTAATAATAATATAATGAAAATATTTTCAAATATTTGTTAACTGTTGATTCATAAACATTAGTGACCTAGAAATTTACAACGGTCAAAGTTTATGATCTTCTCTGTTTTTGGGTTTTCCTTAATATAAAAAAACTTTGACTACAGATTTTTTTTTAAAAAAACCGTACATGCTCTAGATCTATCTTCAGTCTAATATTCAGACCTTCAGTCCTAAAACTTAGAAACAAAGGAAAACATTTCTACCCCTTTTTTAAAATAAAAGTTTTATGATATAAGGTATAATAATATTATCTTTTAATAATACCACGTATAAAAGATAAAGATAGCGACATAATCAGAATAAACAAAAATATTTAAAAAAAAAAACTATGCAGTCACAATCAACAGATTTAATTTTATAAAAATGATTGTGTTTGTTTAAAATGTATAATAATGTAATTTTTCAAATGGTTTTTTAAATATTTTTTCTATTTTTGTGACTGGACTCACGTTTACCCTGCGTTACTACTCTATACAAGTGTTACACCGCTGCTACTCTGGGTCTCCTGGACCCAGTTTTTCAAATTTACCTCAAATTCCCAAATATACTTCTAGAATATTTATTTAACATAGTAAAAACAAATTCCTTTTTTATTTATAATATACCGATAATATATACCGAGATTTGAACCACGGCTAGTGCGTAGAAACACTGCACAGTGGTCTAAAATCAAAAAACGGTGGCCAAAAATAAAAAAATAAAAATGGAAGATGTAATTTTTTTTTTAGGTTGTTACAATACTACTTAAGTTCTCTGAAAATTAAAATTAGAATTTAAAATATTGATTTGAAATTTTACTGACGAGTTGTTGAAGTTGGAAGAATCGAAAATAATTTGGTTGCTAATTCACGATTTTTATTATAATATATAATTATTTAAATTTTTTGGTAGTTAATTATTTTTTTAGGACAATTACATCATACTCAATCGTGATTTAAATGATTTTTTTCATCTAGAATGCATTTTACCCGGTGCATATTACAATTAGTGTAAAAACTCTTATTATAAAATCAAAAGATAACAACATTTTGCAGACAATATGTTATCGAATTAAAAAAAAATAATAGGAAAAAAGTTAAAATTATTTTGAAAAAGTAAAAAAAAGGTGATTTAAATCTTTAAATATTAGGTTTATAAAAAAAAGCTATGACATTGTTTCCAAAATCTTGTTATCCCCTCATTTTCGTTATAGGTATTTTGGTTTTAAATCGACAAGCAGCGATGGAACGCAATATGTGTAGGTATGTTTTAACGCTGGCAAATAAGATGTAATCGACGCGTCATAATGGGTACAATTTAAAATTATTAAACATAAATGTTGTCTACTGTTGTACTAAAACATAAATAAAAAAATTCTCAAAAAGAAACATCACAAATTTGCAAATATTTTAAGAGTAAACTCTAGTATAGGGAAAGAATAACCCGGTATATACTATAGTAAAGAGGAGCGAAAACTTTGTTTATTAAATAGCAAAATATATGCAACAAATGACAAAAATCTATTTTGTAGCCATTTTAAATATACCATCTAGTTTTAAAAAGAAAAAATATTAAGTTTTTCTAGTTATACAACTTTAATTTTTTAAACGGATTTAAATTTTGTTTCATGTAGCTTACTATTTTCTCTGTTCGAGCTAAAATGCTGATTTTTGATGAAAAGTTATTAATAAGTAAAAACTTAAATGCTTTAATGACATTTTAAAAACAAAAATAAAAAATAGAAAATTTGCCGGTTTTTGTTCCATTTAATTTTAAGGTATTTAAAATAAAAGTCTTACTTGAAGTCGTGACTGATGTCGTATTCTTTTCTGTCTGGTATAACCATCGGGTGATATCGGATAGCTAACTGATGGCAGAAAATTTTATCCACTCTTGTTAAAGTTCCAACATTGACTACAACGCCTTTATCGGAAAAATTGAATATATGTACCGCCTCTGGGGTAGAGTAAGCGCGTAGAGCTATTTTTATCTGCGCGCATTACTCTACCGCACTCTACCTCCCATCGTACCCTTTAACGTTTAGTAGCTTAAAAAGTAATTATCAAAATCTAGTTATCGACCAGTCAACATTTTCATCAAACTAATCTTAGTAAAATGGCTATCTTGAACTAAAAAAAAAAATAAAAACATTATTTAAAAAAGTAAAATAGTTAAGTGCAATAAAAAACGTGTTGCTTGTAGCGCAATTGAGTATAAATTGATAAAAAAAAAAAATAAAAAAATATATTTTTTTCGTAACGTACTTATATTTGCAACAATTTTTTTAATGCTTTTAATCTGAAAATTCTATTTGTTATCATTAAATGTTTTAATATAATAAAAACATATTTAAAAAACCAGTGCAGTGGGGTCGGGGCATAGTGGGGACGGGGAGGTCACAGGTTTACAGGAATTTTTAATTTTGAAAGTGATAAAATCACTTCCGAAAAACTCCTTTGATGCAAATCGGTAGTTAGATTTTCAAGCCAGTACAGTCCAAACCAAGCGCAGTATAAACCAGCAAAGTTAGAAAGTATTAAATTGAGTGCATCTACTGTTTTTTTTGCAAAAACATAGTTGACCAAATAACACATATACTTGTTTGTCTTGTTATTTTACTATATGTCAATAAAAATAATAATACTCGGAACGACAGCGGATTGACACTCCAGATCAATGTTAAATCAATAACTGATTGTCGAATTACCGAATACCGACTACGTACAAATGTCATCACCCCCGACCTCTCTCTCATACACCATGGCCGGCTCGGTCCGATAAGGGGTTTTTCGTTCCCACCTGTACCGTGTACATGAGACGATGAACAGTTGATAACGCGACCAGGCTAATCGCTATAAACGTTTTCAAATAAATGTTCACTTAAAAATTACAAAATAAAAAACCGATTATCAATAAACAATATTATTTTAGTTTTGATTTTTGCAAAAAAAAACTCTAATATTTTTGTATTAAACTTTTATCGATTATCACTTTACAAATGTCATAATACCTGAAAAAAAAATTGAATTTGTGTAAAATAAAAGTCAAAAGTGGTACTTGAGTACAAAACTTAGTAGTATCATTCTACATAGGTCAACATAAAATTGTTTTAATTATTTGATACATTTTTTTTTAAGATTTTAGGTCTGTTTGTTAAAATATACGCAATCTGCGAAAACACAGTTTTCAGGCTATTAAAAAAAAACTGTAGTGCCGAATTTTTTTTCCGTTTTATATAGTTATGGATACATATGAGTTCTAACTACTGGCAAATTTTCAACCCAAAGGTCTTAAAATTACGGCTAAAAACCCCGAAAAACAAAAAACTTGTACCCCCCTAGGGAGGTGGGAAATGGGTATAGTTTAAATTTGATACAACTGACGTATGCGGGCATACCAAATAATTATTTCTTATACATCTCAACTCGATCCGACTCTTTTTCTCGAAATCATAGCCAGTAAAAGTTCTAACTTAAAAACTCGTACGTTTTTTTTTTTGTTTTTTCAAATTTCGTCTGTAAAGAATTAAACTTTTTCAACTTTTACCCCCCCCCCCCCCCCCCCCAAAGTACAAACTAGATAAAATTTGTGATTTATAGAGTTGCTATTCGAAGGAATTGGTCAAGTATTAAAAAAGTTACAGTGTATACAGCGAAAAAAAAGCCCACATCAGAGTAAAACCAATACCTTCTCGCTTTGCATCGAAGTTAAAAATTAAAGGTTACAATAATATTTATGGAAGACTATAGATAGGTTATTTTTATACAAAGTAGAAGACTATAATAAGTTCTACGTTTTAATAAGGAAATTAATTATTTTTTTTTTTTTTTTAAATCTTTTGTTGCATCAAATTTATTTTTTGCTTTACTAAAATCAAAACCTAGTTTTACGCCATAAGAAATAATCATTGGAAAAAAAAAACAATTATATATTTAATGTTGATTAATATAATGTATCACACCAAATCTAACTTAATTTATTATTAAATTACAAACGTATTTGTTTAATACAAATTCACAACGTTTTATGAGCGTATTACTTAATATTTTTATGTTTTTATTAAATTTCGACCATGTTGATTAATTTACCGGTTAATTTATATGAGCTTCATGGTATTATTTTTAATTTAAATAATTTTGTCTATGAGTAAAAGCCATTTTAGTTAATATAATAGTACATTTTTTGTCCATCGCACAGGCTGAACCAGTAATCCGATAAGTAATCTGAAAACAGATTTGAATTTGTCATGAAGTTTACTTGAGATCGGTCAGCGTACTTTTTTGATATCTTATTCCTACTACGCATAAAACACGTTTGAACATTTTATAAAATTTAAATTTTAAAATCAAATTTGGAAAGGGTTAAAACTAAAAATTGAAAAAAGTGCTCTGACCGATCTCAAGTAAACTTCATGACAAGTGAATTAGTAAATTCATATCTGTTTTTTGATTGCTTATCGGATCAATGGTTCACCCTGTGCGTTGGACAAAAAATTATGTGTTTTGGCTGAAAAAAACGGTCGGTATCCAGGGGCCTTAAGCTGCGTGACGTTTTGGAGTTGCAGTAGGAGGAGAGGGATGTGGGTAACTTTCGGAGGGTAATGCATAGCAGCAATGCATCCCACCTGTTGCCCAGCGTTATTGATTTATTGCGGAGAAACGCACCCTACTGGTTTGACTTCCATTTATGGCCTTGCAGTTCTGGTAATATAATAATTGCATAATGATTTATACAGGGTGGCCCACAATTATTTGACAAATGAAAAAACTTTTGTTCTAGTGAATATTTTTAAGATTTTTTTTTTAAAAATAATTTATACTCATTTGCGATATAAGCACCACGGGTTTCATTGCGCTTACCTGTTTTACTTTTTTAAATTGTTTTATTACATTTTCAATTTTTTTTCAAATTGAATTCATTTTATTCAAAATAATTTTTAAAAAAGAATGGGTGAAAATCTCAAAAATATTCACCAGAACAAAAGTTATTTCATTTGTCTAATCATTGTGGACCACCTTGTATATGAATAGTTACAAAACTCAAATATGCAATTAAATATTTTAATAAATAACTAATTTAGTAAAGTTTAAAACACGAATTACGCTACTAATTTGTATTTAAAACACTGTTGTTTTATTTGTTAGTATTTACTGTGGTTTGATTTAGTATAACATTACTCCTTAAAGTATAGTTCTAGAAGTATCGCCCCAATTTGTTAAGTAGATTTTTATACAAGAAACTATGTTTAACATTTTTTTCTGTAATGTTGATTTAGAAATTGAGTTAAGTATACTTGATTTAAATATTTTATCTTTATTTATAAATAATTAAACTTAACTGCTCTTGAAGATTTTTTTTTCTTTGATGCGGAGCTGAAAAGTTGTATTTACAATGATGTGTTTTTATTTATTTATTTTTTTTGTGTCTACCGGTCTTCTAAGCCACTTATCCGATTTTTTCGTATAGCAACTCTAAAGATTAGAAGTCGTAGCTGTTTGATAAATTTAAGAAGTGTATCCCTTTCCCTTTAAAATGTAGAAAAAAAAATTGTTCGACCTAAAATTCGTATCCACCATTTTACTAAAATGTATTTTTAAGTAAATAATTGTCATTAGGTACAATGCTTTTAACAATATTTTGTATTTTTGTCTGTAAATACTGGACTTACCTTACTTACTCACTACTACTAATACTAATTACTACTACTACTCACTTACGTGCTATACTTTCTTACTATGCTGGTTTATACTTGGTTTGGAGTTTGGACTGTTCTGGTTTGTACAAACTACCTATCCTTAGATTCGCATCGAAGCGTTCATTTGAAAGTTATCTTATAACTTTTAATTATAATAATTCCTATATAGACATATGACCTCTCCACCATCCTAATCATAGATAACAATACTTTTTTTTTTTATAGATAAATCTAATTTTATTATAAGTACTATAAAGTACGAACCAGTATTAACTAGTAAAAATTATCTACATGCAATAATTCTTAAAATCCATGTTTGATAATTTTTTTTTTTTTAAACAACTGTGTAGTGAAATGTGAATACTGTAGGCAATGGTTTAAACATATACAGTTAAGTGTTACGTATATTATACTAAGTCTATGTTTCTCTTTATATTACTAAGCCTATACAAAAGAAAAGCGACCAATTTTATGCGGTATTTCCTCTTCATAGTTATTATCCGCCCGTTTATAAACTATGGCGGGGTACCTCTGCTTGACACGCGAGAATCCGTTATCCGTCTTTATTTATAAGTTATGACCCTTTGTAAAATTTTCAAGGGGATTGATAATAACGACTTTCTATTTTATTATTCATTACGAACTCCGTACAATGTAATTTATTTCGCCAAGTTATTTCCTGATAGTGTTCTACGGCAATTATCTTTCAATTTTTTACCCCATTAAATAAAAAAAACAAAACAACCTTTACCACAAAATATGTTTATGTTATGCAAAATTACACATTTTGCATAACATAATGCCTTTTTCTATAATAACCTCATGCCGTATAAGCTTTTACTTTGACAAATGTTGTTATCCAACGATAAAGAAATTATACTTTATGAAAGGTTGTTAATTTTTCAATATTATGCAAATTGAATTTTCATTCTTACTCCGTCGAGTGTATTTATGAACCTTAATTGAAGTCGAAAGTGTTAAATTCATTTTATAATATACCCATTTTGGTTTTTAAGAGGACTAGTCGCTAAGATGGTTAGCGTCAGTGTACACTGTTTGCCGGGCGAGAGAAACCGTCTGATAAAAAAAGGCCACCCTTCTCTTATTCCCCGTCTCTGGCGACAGACTGACGCGGCGACCCTTCCCGGATAGCGATTTTTTTTAGAAAGGTGTAAAGGTGTGTACACTTAGGCAAACTTTTAGCAATTTCTAAATTTGATTGCGGACGAAGCTAAATCGCATTATGCCTACTTTTTTTTTACAGCCTACCAACCGATTTTATTAAATTGAATTGAACGATGAAATACCACTTGATTTCTATTTGGCATTGAGTATATAAGATAATTATATACTCTTTATCCGGTATATTACGATAAATCTTTAAAAAAAATGGTGTGGTCAATTCTACGTTGAGTATACTATAAGTTTTTACATTCAGGGGGGTTAAAATGTTATGAGTTTATACGTAATTAGTTTAATTAATAGATGGTGTGTGCAAAGTATTCCGCATTGATACATTTTCCTAAAAACGTTTAATATCTTATAAAATAATGTAATTTAATGTGGAATTTAATTCAAAATAGTCTCTCAGCTCTGCATCGAAACTAAAATGTGATATTTGTGGTTGACACCGGCTAACACATTTTCATGTTAACAAAAATTGTTAAAATTAATTAATGTGGCAGATAAATTATCTGTTATATTTTGAAACTATCCTATTTTTTTGTATACTTCAAATAACAATTTTATTACCCATAAGGATTTGACCTTTCTGATATATATCTTCTGAAAATTATTATTTAAAAATAAATCCTTTTCAGAATCAACATTTGTTCTTCAGCGGTGTATAAGACTTTACTCTAATGATCATAATAGGGTATACCCTACAATTGTCAAAGTTAATCTCATACTATAATAATAGATGAAGTCCTAGTGTTCTATTTCTCACTTTGTTTAACGCACATAGTATTATATTGTTTAACAAATCTTTTGGACTTTATTTTAAAAAACAATGTATTTTGTTTCCGTAAAACTCTTGGAATGTTTATCAAACCCGGTTTTGACTTAATTAAAAATGATAATATTATATAAGCTAAGCACTTAGTTAAAAAATCGATACACATTTTATTTGTATTCACATCATCAATGTGACTTAGAAAATAATAAATATTATGTTATTATTTAACAAACAGCTAAGCAACTATGGTTATTATAGTTAAAAAAAAAAGTTAAGTATTTCAAAAACCCTAAACTACAAAAAATAATTAACTTTATTGTTTACGCGTATTTTAGTAGCAATGCTATCATTGTCAGGGCTTACAACAGATTTGGTCTGAACTTTTAAATATTTGGTTATTTTAATTCTTATCCATCATGTTATAAGAGGTTAGTGAAGTGTGGTGAAACCACCATTATATTTATATACCATTCGGTTCAGAAGAATGAATAAAATTTAAAGACAATTTGACGACAGTCAGTTTTGGTTCAAACAATGCTTTTTTTGGACTGTGATTGGTTTAGAATATGCAGATTTACACTGTACTAATTTTTTGAATAGATTTTTATTTTAAGTTATTACTAAAACGTTTAGTTAAAACAGCGATAGATATTTTGTTTATACGCGAAGCTATTAAACGTCCAAAGATGATATTTACAAATTATAATGTAAAAGTTCGAATTTATCATATTTTAACAAGTTTAATGACAAAAACCTTATAACTGTAAATAATACGTTATTATTTTTTTGTTTTTGCAGGAACCTCATTTACAGCCGTCAATTCCTGGGGGTCCTGCTGAAATACAACATTTCTCATTATTGGATTAAGACAGTTGTGGTTATAGTTAGTATAAACGAAATTACTGATAATTTTAAAATAATAATTGTTTTACCTTACCTTAGGAAACTTGAATAATGGCAACCGATTCTTACAATTTTCACTGACTGGCAACATATCTTCTGTTTTTAATTTAATAATCGTTCGTGGTAAGTATAGCCATAAATAATGATGATTAAAATAATTATTAATTTTTGTATTTTTTTAACGAACATAATTTACAGCGACCAATTTTTGTGACATGCGCTGAGTGGCTACAAGTCATCTTTTTTTAATTAGAATAGTCGTGTTTGGTGAGTATATACATAATAATTGGTTATTGTAAAATTTTAACTTTTTTTTTCTTCCCCCAGGAAGTATTTATTTATAGCAACCAATCTTATAGCTGCTCATTTCAACTATTGTAGTTATCAAATGGAGTATTTGCTGTCAATTCATAATCTGGAATAATTAAGAAATTACAAGTATTTCAAAGAATTCAATATTCTTTATGATTAAGGTTATAATATATCAACCTAACAAGATGTGGATTAAGTGGAAATTATAATTTGTTTATATACTTGTAATAAAATATTTGTTCATACATTCCAATACTTTTGAATATATTCTCCTAAATATATTAAAAAAAAAAATTAGAAAAGGCAGAGTAAAAAAGGAGGAGAGTAACTACTCCAAAATTAATTTACTCAAAATTGTTTGTTGCGCCTTGGTTCCAAAAGAAAAGTCTATTTAATTAAATTGTATTTTTCATGGTCTCTTCGGTTTATTTAAAATCTATTCTAGGAGAGTTACTAATTTAAGGGAATGAAAATCCCTTTTACTGTTTTCTGCGGTAGGTAAATAGGGTTCCAGAAAAAAATGTTACCTAAAAACCATATCATAAAAATTGATCGGTTTTTAAAATAAACTGTGTACAATATCTAAAAGTTAACATTTAAACCTTAAAAAACTACCTAAGTGTACCTCAGGAAACTCTGTCTTATTTTAAATACGTTTTTATTCATCTTTTATTTAGAATGTACCAATGGGTTAAAATACTTTTTAGAAGTATCTTTTTACAAGACAATATATTGTAACTGTTACGCTCTAAAAATACCCTAGAAAAACTTTTACAACAAATATTTCATAGAAAAAGTTACTAGTTAAAAATACATTTTTTTAATTTAAAGCCCTCTACAGACAAAAGTTTTATTCGTGACGTGATATGCAAAAAGCATATCCAAAGTTTATGAATGTTTGTTTATCAATAATATTAGAATACATTTAACGTGCTTTTAAGTAATCTAAATTTTAGTTCTTGTCACTAATATTCCGTCTCTTTTTAGATTATACCGCACTATCAACACTAAACAATTAAAGAATAACATAAAAATAAGTTACAGTGGTTACAGACAAAAAAATCATTATAAAGTATGGTTTAATGTTATAAATTATATTAATAACTAACTAACTTAGAAAATGATTAAAGGTTATACATTATAATGCGAAATAAATTGGATACTCAACGTTTCTGGGCTCATAGAAGTTATTTAAGTACACACTTATGTTGGTCTGTTATTAAATAATACTATCTATAATATAATCGTTTTACTTTTGGTGTGTACATGCATATAATAAATATACATATAGTATATTTAATCTATGGTACATGTAAATATGCACTCCACAATGCAATATTTTAATTTGGTTTGTTGTTTGTAGGACACTGGATTAAAAGTGGACGCCTTGCAAAGAGCTAGTGGCCGTCTTTGTTAAATCAACCGATTTATGGAGCGCTTTCCATGCAGCTTATAACAATTAAAAAACTGGGAAAGCTACCTATCCCTAAGAAAAGATGCTTGGAATTGGGAATACCACTCAAAAAATTCTTCGATGCGAATTTTAGATGGTAATATTATTAAATATCAATATAAATTACAATATAGACATTAGGTATATGTGTTTATGGTGATAGGTTGTATGTATTTTCGGAAGACATCAATTTTCTCGAAAAATAATTAAAATTGTACGATTACTTAGCCGTCTACAGTTATAATAAAAAAAAATTGTTTGATGTTTGATAGAGTCCCACCAACCTAATCTAAAAAACAAAACTATAAAATTGACTCGAAAAAAAACGAAATTTGGAATATTATGGCTGAATTGGAACAATGAATGTTTTGAGAATGAAAAAAGTGAAATAAGATAGTTAAAGTTTCCAAGTAAATAAACACACCCCTGGACCTCATATCCTCGAAATTGGGCTTATTGAATTATCGGGTGAATGAAAAACTAAACGTTTTAGAATCTATATAATAACATACCTACTATTTTACAAAATAAATGTAAAAGTGTGTAGTGAGTAGTATATTTGTCAGTCGATATAGCGGTTATCATTATTATTTACTATCGGTGAATTATTTACCTAAAGTAAATAGTGTTTGGTACGGTTATGATTTTTAAACGCTACAATAGCTATTGTCAAAGTTAATTGTCAATAAATAATAACAGAGAGCAGTCACATTAATATGTTAGCGTCTCCAAGATATTTAATTTATTTTTTACACTCCCTTTAATTTTAAAACTGTGTAGCTCGTTAACTACTCAATCGATTTAGCTAATTTGTATGCCTAAAATTAAATTTAAAAAAAATAAACACGATCATCAAAAAAAAATTGGGGGTTACCATTTAAAAATCTAAAGTTGATATGGTTTTAAACGCATAAGGGATGGTGTTAAAATTTTGAAAAATACATTAAATTTGTCCCACCTAATAACTATAATAGTACAAAAAAAAAATAATTAAAAAAGTCTAATATCTTCTAAGATATTGAGTGGTCCTTAGTTAACTAATCACCCGTTATTATAATAATATAGTATCATAACTTACTAGATCTATGAACTTGTCAACATTTATTGTGTTTTAAATAATAACATTGATATTAAATATCCATAATCAATGTGAATACCAAGATGGAGTTTTGCTCAAGTGACAAGTCTATAAAACCTATAACCTTACTTATAAAATGTATGCACATCAAATATCAAAATTAAAGGTACTTATAATAATAATATGTTATTTAAAATAAATAGAGTAATTTGAATTATGCTTGATGATATTTTAATTGAAACTTTTATTCTTACAGTATTATGTCTTTGTTCTGAGAAACTTATAAATGTGTAGCTTTGTGTTTTAATATATTGGTATCTGAATTCAAAGAAAAAAATAACATTTTTTATGAAAAAATTGAATCTTCAATCATCATTTACTGAATCAACAATAGGTAAGATAATGTATTTATTAATATAGGTGTATTGTATAAGTACATTTTTTTATTAGAAAAATATAATTAATCGTTTTTCATTATTCATGAACATGTAAAATGTTTTTAAATAATAAGTTTTTTTGGATTACTTATGTTTATCATACTTAATATGTTTAATTAAAATGCGTTACTTAAAAATTAACGTTTGACTTAAAAATTATCATACTTGTATAATTATAAAAAATATATGTGTATACTGATATTTGTTGCTTAACCATATAATTATTTAAGTATCTAAGGAACTTATTTAATTTTTTTAATTATATGTTTCAGTATGTTCAATATTAATATGGACTATCTCAACTTAAATTGATATTTGTTATTGTCTACAACTACACTACTACCAACGTCAAATTCGGTGTATTATATTATTGTAGTCAATCAGTCTAATCTTATTCCATCAATACATTGTCAAATGTTGTGGTATTCAATTTTCAGTAAATTTATAGGTGTTTTATTTTAAGGTAAAATATATAAGATCATCAGTTTGCAATAATTTAGTTAATTTCTATGAATTCATCTCTAACAATTTATTTTTATTATTATTTTTTTTTAGTTACTGTGGCACACTATTGCAGATAACGAATTTCCATTAAGTCAGTAAGAAGAAAAAGATGGATTCACAAGTTCAAATCAAATATTAGACAACTATATATATTTAGTTATTCGGCTAAAAATGTAATTCAATAAAATAATTTAAAAGTACTTTATCATTTTAAAAGTGACATAAAGTTTTTAAACACACATATACTTAACATATCTATAATTATTATACATTATTTATTAATTATTAATGATGAATTCTTTATTTAATATTAATTTAATCTAAAATGCTGCTGAGAATGTTAATATTTCTAAAATATGTTATTGTCTTAATCCAAATCTTGAAATTATTTTCATGATGGCATAGTTTTGGCATTAGCTATTACAGAATTTATTGACAACTTTCTAGTGGTTTACGATTAAGTTTTTATAAGTAATAAAGTAAATAAAATTATAAAACACAAAATAGAAAAAAAAAATGTTAACTATTGAATTAAGTGTAAAAAAGTAAATTGAATGAATATACTTATAAATATTTTTTAACTTAAATATGTAAATGGAGATGGATTTCTTCTAGTGGGAAATTATCAAACAAACTTTACTGTCCAAGGTAACTTCCTATAAATACATCACTATATACAGCAATATGTTGTACCTCTATTATTTACAAGTTAATTATAGATATGTTAATTTTATTTAGTCTTAGTTTTTCAATATGATTTAGCAAATAAAAATGTTTATTGGTATCTTATAAGCGTATTATTTATCTTGTTACTTGTTTTTTTATTTTACTATTATCATAATAAACATAACATAATATAGTATTTAAATGTTTGTTAGTAATATTATTATTGAATTTTAAACTTATGACTGTTAAAAAAGCCATACAAAAACAAAAAAAATTGTACTTTTTCATTGTCACTCTAAATTTTTGTTTATACCTCGTACAACGAAAAAAACAATCATTTATTAAATAAAAAACATACTTTTACTCTTCATATTATGAACACATTAAAATAAGTAAGAATAGTCAATACTATGAAATATATACAGTATAATATAGTAGTGTAATATAATAAAGAGTTAATAAATAAATACAGCTTTTAATAATTAAAAACACTGAACTAGAAATAGTTAAAATTAACGCGTTACAACTTTAAATTATAAAAATGAAAATTTATTTTAGTGCACAAGTATTGGATGAACGTATTTCTTATGGAATCCTTTGTTATCTAAACATTTTAAGAAACACACTAGATGCCTTATAAAGATGTTGTTTGACATCTTAAGTGCCTATCATAACCAGTTCAGACAAATGCTAAAATAGTTTCTGTACATATTAAGTTTAGTTTTTGTTTATTTCTGTATATATTCTGTACATATTATCTATAAACTGTATGTAATACAACATTATACTAAAAAAACAAAAAATTGAATGTTATTTATTAAAGTTTTTTTGAAAATATTTTCACTAACAGAATTAATAATTTGACTAGTTAAGACACCAGTACAAGTAACACTTATTAAGACCAAGACGCTAAATATTTAAAGTAAAAACCAAGACGCTAAATAACCATAATAATTGAAAAATTAGAATAATGAACTTTTTTATTAGTTTTCAAGTAGTCGTATTTTTATAATAATTTGTTCTGTGTTGGTATTAATCTACACTAGTAACGAATCGTTTTGGTAGAACCACGGTATATACTCTATATAAGACCGTGATTAGACCACGGTAACCTATGGTTGAAATTGAAAAAAAAACTATTTACTAGGGCTCATAATATTGTTTGTTAACAGCAGCTAATGCCTAATATTCAATACGTACAGGTACACCGCACCGCTAGGAACACTACAGAAAAAACAGATAAGAAGACATTACCCATATAATATTGTTATAGATTTATTATTAGTTCGTTTTCATTGTGACCGACGACCGTCAACTATTAACTTTAATCTACAACCGTATCGTTGATCAATCTTATTTTGTGAAACGTGAGATCCGGCGATAAACGATTTTTTTCTTTAGCTGTAAAACTTATAAAAGCATCTCATATAAGCTAATATTATAATATTACGTATACAACGATTTGTTTTTGAAAAATCGATCAGCACATAAAAAAACACCACGACGTCGTCGTGTCGGCGATGATAGCGTATAATCCTCTAAACAATATTTCCTTATAATAATAATATTACTATGACGTATCTTAAGACAATCTTAAGATCATGGGCCGTCGCGTACTACCGCACAGCTGAAAGAATATTGTGACCCACACTGCAAAAGCGAGTACTTTGGGTAAACAACGATTTAAAAAGTTGTTGTAACAAATCGAGTTTCGTTTGCATAGAGTTGTTTTCTATTCAAATCTTTACTACTAACCTGACCGCCACCACGTGGTATAGGTAGGGTTAAGCGGGACAAATGTAAAAGCGTTTTTTTCAAATGTCAGTAAAAGTATTGAGTTAAAAGTAATTGTCGACGGTATCTAAAAATAGCTTCACTACATATGTTCTGTTGTATAACGGTATTAATAAAAAAGATCCGATAACATGCGATATTTCTACAAAATATATTTGCATAAAAAAACAAACTAGTAAACTTGTGAAATACAAAATCATTTTATGATTGTATAAGTGTTGTATATGTGTATAAGACGGGTTACGCACCATGGCTGTGGTGTACAGCTACTTGGAGTATATACAATTATTTTGTACAAAAATAATATAAGTTATGTGAAAATTGTTAATGTATGATAACATTATATGATATGTGAACGTTTCAAATGAATAACGATATAAATTACAATGACACTGACGATTATCCATACTAGAAACAGCGGCAGAAATACCATGATGGTCAGTAGTTTCAGGAACAGTGCATAAGAAGTCAATATAAGTATCAAAGGTGCAATAGCCGTGAGTAAGAGTACCAGTATGACAATACTAGCAAAAATCAGCACAATAGCTACTGCACTGACCACAACTCCGTAACACACCTTTGCGAATAGGCCTTTGCCCATTTCTCGGATGCCAGTCAGAAAGGTCGTTCCAACAACCTGTTAAATAGATTTAAAGAATACAGCGATAGAGTAAAATTCAACAATTAATTTTAAACTTACAAGTTCTGGTCGGTGGGGTAGGTATATAACTGTTAAAAACAAAATAATATGTAAATTTCTATGAGAAGTTTATTACCTGTGTGTCGACCTGCAGGATCGGCAAATTTGGTTTTCCAAATTCAATAAGTGAAGTTCTGTCAAGGTTTTTGACTTCGGGCAACACCATGCCAAAACCCGGGTAGGAAATCATATGTACATTGCAGTGCAAATGGCGGCTGTCCATCGTCAAATTCCAACTGACTTGTTCTTCCTTATATAACTTTTTAAGAGAGGTATTTTATATTTTAATAGATTTCGGAGAAACTTTTAAGCACAAAATATTTAAATTTCTATGAGAAGTTTATTACCTGTGTGTCGACCTGCAGGATCGGCAAATTTGGTTTTCCAAATTCAATAAGTGAAGTTCTGTCAAGGTTTTTGACTTCGGGCAACACCATGCTAAAACCCGGGTAGGAAATCATATGTGCACTGCAGTGCAAATGGCGGCTGTCCATCGTCAAATTCCAAATGACTTTATCTAGTCCTGACTGGCACGTTGTTCCAATCAACACAACGACCATCAACACAAAAACAGTAAAATACAGTTTAAACATATTGTATTAACTGTAAGAAATTCATTGAAACAGGAAAAATTAGCAAAAACAGTTTGGAGAAATATGTTGTTTTACACTGAAAGGGTGCGGTGAAACAAATGTAATATTAACATCAATAATAACAGTTACTATATAAACAAGCCGTTTTAATACATATGTACCTATATTAAGAGTATTTGCCAGCATATAAATAAGTATATAATGTTTTTTAAATAACACATGTGCTACTTTTTCTCTTTTGAGTGCCGTATTCGTATATGTTAGACTTATCTTTTAAGACTAATTTCCAACTCGAAAATTCTAAAATTGCGCATAAAAAGAAAATAACGCATACATTTTATGAAAAAAATTGTGTTTTATTTTATAAAATATTATTTTACACCAATTCCTTATAACTATAGATATATTGTAGGAAAATGTATTTATTATTTTATCGGGTGAGCCCAGCATTGGTTCACTCTCAAAATAATTGTAATTTTTTATTTTTGTAAACATTTTTTACTACAATATTGAACAATATTTAAATTTTTATCTTTTTTTTTTTGGCATTTTCTAGAGCTTTATCGACCTTTAAAACTATATATTTATTTAGTTAACTATACAGGGCGATCCAACTAACGTAAAACGCTGATTTTCTCGGAAAATATGAATATTTTGAAAAAACATGTTTTCCTATTCTCTTATGCATAAGTTATACTACATTTTTCAATGCTTTGAACATTTGTATTTTCGTCCTTTATACGATTAAAAGGGTCTAAGTTCACGTTTTAAAATGGCAACATATGTTTTTAATTCCATAAATTTGTAGGCGAAAAATTAAAAAATATGTTATCGTTTGAATTATTAGTTTTTATCCATCTAGTCGTTAGCTATGACTTTGTAAAGATATTACATTTTCTCTTAAATATTGTTATATTTCTTTGGTTTTCCAAAGACCGGGAGCCAATAAAATACTTATTTATGATCGCATTGTCCGATAGATGAGTATACAGATAACCAAACACAATAAAATGTTTTGTGATATTTTGGTTGACCAACGATTCATATTTTTTGATTACCGACTTTTCTAACACACCGTCATGACAGGTAGGTTGACGGACCTATATTGACAGCGGCTAACGAATGGCTATTTAACCAAAACAATCAAAAACCGAGTTGGGGGTAGTTTTTTTTAAGAAATGATAACGCGTGATAAGAAATAAATGTTACATAACATGTCATGATATCCCTGACTTATACTTTATCCAAAGTATTGGAAAAACGTATAATAATCTAAAAATAACGTTTTTATGCGCCTTAAAAAGTATAAAATAACCCTCCGGTGGTCTTGATAACCAAATAGGACAAGTGAACTAGAAAAACGTGGGGCGAATCTTTCTACTTAGATATTAAAACCTAAGCTTTCATCAATGTACAATGCAGTTATTTAGGAAAAATAATTCCTATTGAACTAATATATTCTGACAACAGTATTTTATACGACCAAGTTTCTGATAGTATCGACTCCTTAGGACATCTTGAAAGTTTAATATCAAAGTTTCAAGAAAAATATATATGTAAAGGAGTTGATATAAAAGAATAAAATATTATACTTAAAACACAAGTTACAAATATTGATACTTTAATAATAATTGACATAATAATTGTGGTTGGACCCTGGTGTTATTCACCAGGATCACTACTGTTGCGGGCCTAGTCTGGTAATGTGTCGTTCATGATGATGGTTGATGTTGATGTCCAATATGCTGTAAATAGATTTAGTTCGACATAAAATTAGAGAAAATAATAGAGAAATTAAAGATTGACGAAGAATTATTTACAGTATACAAATATGTAAAGATGAGTTAGCCGAAAGAGTTAGAAATTAATATTAAATATTCTGTTAAACTAAGAAATATTAAGAATCCTCTTAAGTGGGCTGATTTCAAGGAGTTTTATTTAGGCAATAACTAAGAATAAATTGTTTTTTTAAAAAATGTACACCATGTCAATTTATTGACAGATTTATTTGTAAAAGTATTATTATTGTTGGAATGAAATCCTTATTCAAAAACGTATCAAAATAAAATTGGTTTTAATATTTTTAAAATATGAAAAAAAAAAATGATATACTTACTTATGTAAATGGGCCTAACACTCGAATAGTCCTGGCCGTGGCTCTCTGATACTTCGTTTCTGAAAATTAATTTTTTTTTAAATCAGGCTCATATTTATTATACATAGTTTCCAGGAACTCTAGGGTGTAAGAACTAAGATCTGAGACACAAATGTTAAGAAGGGGATAGACAACTGTAAATAATAATATACAAATATAAATCATAATAATTGTGTTGGTTTTATGCAGACTTCCAAGCTTCTGTCAGACAAAAATATTTATAGTTTATATGGTGGTAATTTTTTTAAAAAATGTACATGAGTTATCAGGTTTGATCTAGAGCTGAAACAGTTAAATGGCTGCGGGGAAAAAAGATCAATGTCAATTATTGTTTATTCTGAGAAAATCATGTTTTTAACTTCAAAACGTAATACATTTTGCCTGTATGTCTAAATTTCCGGCGGTCGTTACTCTCGATTAATCTGTATTTTTCCTTGATTCGAGTGCATGAAAAATACAATACGTCAATACAAATAATTTGATACCAAAATCTTATTTTCAAAAAAAAAAATTGACATTGATCTGTTTTCCCCCCAGCCCCTTCAGTTTTTTAAATAATACAAAGGCATTTCTATAGTGAACAATTGTGAACTCGAATATTGCATTAGGAAAACTATATGAAATGCAGTTTAATGACGTTGTCGAGTTCATAGGGAAGTGTGACGATTTAGTAGTTGACTCTGAAGAAAAGGTACATTATTCTATTTACTAGTAAAAATACTTAATTATTTTAATGAAGGTTGTATACTTAAATACAAAATGTATATTTTAGATATTTGATTTTATCATTGGTTGGGTAAGCGTTAACACGAATGAACGAAATCACTTGTTACTAGAATTAATGAAACACAAACGGTTGCATTTAATTTCAAAAGTGGAACTTCGTCAAATTCGTAATGAAACTTTAGTGGGAAAAAAACAATATTAATTTATTTTAATGATGTCACTCTAAAACTGTACGGTATTCACATGTAGGTAATACATTTTTTTATTTATATTTTGAATATGCCCAGCAGCGTACACCTCTAATTTGTTATACATAATACTAAATGTAATAGTTGAATTATTGTTGGACCGTTTGAACGAGTTGTTGTTTGGCTCTGCTCTACTAGTAAACCATATCTTATCAAATATAGCCGGCATACAGGGCCGTACTCACCTGGATACGATCTTTAAGATGAACTAAAAATGATCTGATAACGAGGTTTCTTGAAATACTCCTATTTATCCTTTTTTTGTTCACGCCATGGTTGCCATATAATTGTTGTCTGTCCGCTTCAATTGTCCTTTGTAAATTTCTCTTTTTATCTTTAATTTCTTTATGTAACCTTGAAATTTACAAATTTTATAACATTAAAATGATGCTATACTATATTCAGAATAAGAACAGGGTTCGGCGGCCGACCAGTTTTCGTCGGGCGGCGGTCAGGCACCGCCCATTTTACATTTCGTCTGTAGCCCCCACCGGCGGCAGTGTTCGTGCCGCCGAAGCCTGTTCTTATTCTGATTAGAGTATATGTTCAAACACATTTTATTTTTTTATATTGAAAAGTATATTTGCCAAATGTATTCAAATTGAGGGGAAGTAGTCATGTGACTAACAGTTCCCCCTCATTGGTTCTGTATATTTAATAGAATGTATTTAAATGTACATTTTTTGTAAATATAAAAATAAATTTGATAATTTTTAAAAAACGAACATTTTTTTAAGCTTTTGTGGATTTTGAACATTGTTTATCATTAATTAATTTTTAAGTCAAATTGCACCCCCGTCACCCCATCGAATAATATAGATTAAATACGACGTGACGGTACTTTTGTAGATGATTATATCAAATTTAGTTGCCCAACTATATTTATGTCCAGTAACCCACCAAATGAAATTCAATGAAAAAATCTTTCATAGGTTTTGACCATTGTTTGTCAATAATGAATTTATTATGAATTATGAAACCGCTGACAAAATGTCTAAAAAAAACTTACCGCTCTAATTCCATTTCTGCCGTAGACGGCAAAGCGTCCTCTGCAGTCTGAAACATATAAAAAATTAAATAATTAGTGTAAACTTAATGTGTAATAATATACTATTTTAATTACTCTATTATAATTGTACAAATCAAATTGTTTTTTTTTTATATTTTACTGCAAGTGTATAGGATCATGGTACATAAAATGTGCAACCCGGACCGCTCTTATTCTGAATAGAGTATTGAAATAGTAGAAAATATCGCAGACAAGTTGGGTATAAAATTGTCAGTAACTAAAGCCTTTCGTACGCTTTCAAACATTTTAAATAAACCAAAAAAAATCACAAGATGTCACGAGGGTGATCAATACCAAATTAACAATCCTAATTAACCTAACCAGCAGAGTCTACAAATGCGATCGATAAAAATCAAAATTATCTACTGGATGGCAAATATTACAAAATACTGTCGGTTGACGGATCAAAAATTACTGTTAACTGTCAAATTATTTTTATTATTTGTGTTAGATAGATATACTATTATATAAACTTTGGAAAAATGTGTTAAGTGTAATATTTGTTTGCGGTTTTAAAAGTAATTCATTTGTAGCAGTTATCAAATTTTAATATTTAATTCTCTGCTAAGTATATATCACAAAAGTATATAAGTATTTATATAAAATGTTCACTCATACATTTTCGTATAACATATTTTATGAAGGTTAAAATATAATTTATCTATTTTTCATCTAGATAAAATTGTATTTATCTTTTATCTTTTAACTAGATAAATGTTAAATGAATAATTCAATATCTTATCTAGATGATATATTACTCAATTGTCCGTTATCTTATCTAGATAACTTTATAGTTTTTATAGAAAAAAAAAATGACCGCAAGTCAATTATTTGTCGGCTGGACGCCTCTCGCGCAAAAAAACAGGTGCGTCGAATAGCCGACAAAACGGCCCGTGCCAAGCGAACCGAGCATAAATGTAGTCGGCATACAGGGCCGTACTTACCTCAGAACCACTTTCCAGATCTTCTATAAAAATTTTTAAATCTTGACATTTGGACAAACACAATCTTAATTTTTTATTTCTGGCCCTTGTTAGTGGGCTATTTTCAGTTACTGCTAAAAGTCTTATTTCTTCGTAATATTGTTGACATTTGGTTATGACATGTTGCTTTTCTTCTATTAGTATGTTTTTAATCCTTTAAATTTACAAATTTAAAAACATTAAAAAGATGTACAAACATAGGTTATTAGGAAATAGATAAGCATGCAAAACCAAATAGTTAATACTAATTTCATTTAGAACTATATTCAAGCTATATAAGGTTAGTAAGTACTTATGTTCTAACATATTTTATTTTCTTATTTTGAAAAGTATATTTTCCAAATAAATTCAAATTGAGGGAAAGTAGTCATGTGGCTAACAGTTCCCCCTCATTGGTTTTTTATACTTAATATATTGTATTTAAATGTACATTTTTTATAAATATAAAAATAAATTTGATAATTTTTTAAAAACGAAAATTTTTTAAGCTTTTGTGGATTTTGATTATTGTTTATCATTAAAGAATTTTTTTTAATTTTATATAAATAGTTATTTTTAAAGAACCTGAAATTATGAAACCGCTGACAAAATGTCTAAAAAGACTTACTGTTCTAATTCCTCGGACGCTTCAGTGGCCGTGGCCAACCGGTCATTTAACGGCAAAGCGTCCCTTGCAGTCTGAAATATATAAAAAATTAAATAATTAGTGTAAACTTAATGTGTAATAGTATACTATTTTAATTACTCTATTATAATTGTACAAACCAAATTGTTTTTTTAAAAATATTTTCCTGGAAGTTTATAGGATCATGGCACCTATCAATATGTAAAAACAGATTGACAGGTAAGCCAACCTATAATGACCTCCACTCCCTAAATCTATTGAAGAAGTTCAATTAGTACTTGACGAACGCGGTGTTCAAACAAATAGATAAGAGTTATTTGTATTAATAAACAACAAGGAGTTCAAATGTGTAGTTTTCAGTTGCGTTTCTAATTTAAATACTCTTGCAATAACAAAATGGTTTTACATGGGCGGTACATTTTCATACTACCCTAATTACTTCACACAAATGTTTACAATACATGGTTTTATCAACGGCTATTATATAACACTCGTTATATGTTTACTATCCAATAAAAGTACAATATCTTGCACTTTTTGCCTAAAATCAATTTGTGAATATGGTTTTCAAAACCATATATCACCGCCCGATGTTGTAATAGATTTTGAGAAAACTATTCAATTTTCATGTAAAACTGTTTCGCCTTTAGATAAAGTTACACGGATGTCGCTTTCATCTAACATTATCGTGGAATATATGATGATAACATTATTTTCAGCTAATTCATAAAATAACAATGTTACTAACAAGAAGAAGAAGAGACTTACCTTATATTCAGAAGACTGTTCCAAACTTTCTACAGAAGCTTCAGCGTAATGTGTGTTTGGTAATGTTGCCTTAGCGTTTTGGTTATCATCCTAGGTTAACATAAATAATAACACATGTATAATTAGTTGTAAAATTGTAATAAAATTGTAAGCTCAATAAGTCGCGAAGCGACCGAACAAACCTTTTAGAAAACACGACAAGGTATGTACTATATACAATATTATAACACTGTGTAATAGTAAGTCTAGAGGCAGGAAGTGAGTTCTTGTAGTAAATATACACACATACACACCCCGATTAAGAGACTAATTTATAAATATTTAAAATAGCCATTCATCGCCACTTCCCCCTTGCTTTTCTTCTATTACAAATCTATTCCAAGAATTTTCTAAAATCATTGTGGACAGAGGCAGTTAACTTAACAATGTTTGTGTTAAAACGCACAGGTAATTCGGGTCAAGTAAGCAAATCTCCTTATGAATTATGGTTCGAAAAATCATGTAAAATAGACAAGTACATAGTAGGTAAAATATACAAATCCTATACCTATACCTAGTTTGCTAACTATCAAATAACAAAACAAAGTACCTCCTATTGTACCGTTATTCCACTTCTAGTCCTATATTACTTCACGGTAATTATATTGATCAGTGTACCAGAAAAGTTTAGGATGTAAAAAAAATATATGTAGAAATAATTTAAGTAAAATTGTATGTTGTAATTATTATGATTACTTTCTGGACGTTGTTTACGGCCGTTTACCTTGGTTGACTAAGTATAAAGAAGAAAATTAACTATCAATATTAATGTTCTTATATTCTAAGAACATCCCTGTTCGCATACATAAGTTTATGAGAAAAATATACAAGTAATCGACTCCTATCAGTATAATGTGTTATTTAATTAGAAATATTGAAGTCGTAAGTATAGGTAGTACCTATAATAAAATACGTTTAGAGTTTTTTGTTACTTCTGCTAATAAAATAAAATGTGATAAACTCTTCATATTTACTTTTTAGAATTCCTATTTAAAATTAAACATAATATTTGTACTATTGTTTTATTATACCAAACAGTAGATACATTTTTGTAATTAGATCCGAAAAATAAATCTTTAATAATATGGTCTTATCTATAATTAACTCACTTATCTCTTATCGGCGATTTTAAACTGCGCCCAAGGCACAGGTAAACACAAAATCATACAATATGTAAACTGCGACCGAGTTTTTATCAAGTGTAAAAAGGTTACATGTTAACTGCGCCCGAGTTCTTATCGAGTGAAGTTAAGGGTCATTTATACTATTTAATTTAATGTAGGTATGTTTCTATTAAAATTGCTTTTAACTTTTCTAAAAACATAAAAATATTTGGATGAGTTGTTTAAAAACTAGAACTAAAATGGGTATGGAATGACTCGCATGCATTGATGGTTAAAAATGGCTCTTCTGATGCTTGAGCCATATTTCAGGTGATACTGACTTCTTCACACTATAATAATCTACTAAATAATTCGCAAACGTGTCACTCTTTCGTCGTCGGCCTTAGATATCATTAAATAATTTATAAAATACTCAGTTACACTGTTTATGAACCCCTGAAATATTTAGTATTAATTAGAGTAGTATATAAGTTATATTAATATTTCGCAATTGGAGCAACAGAGTATCATGCGTAGACGCGGTCGGCCTAAAAGAATGTGTCTATTATTTAAAAACCGGGGAAAGTCTATAGTATCGAATTACAGACAAAAAGCAAAACTCGCTCCAATACCTAAGCTTTTAGAAAAACTCATAATGTCCATTCTCTCACAGACATTTAAAAATACCTTAGACTCCAATCGACATGGTTTTTTATCTGGCAGGTCGACCGACACTAATTAGATTTGT